TCCTTTAATTGTCCAGTCCTCTTTCAAAGCCATCCAAGTTGGTGGCCATCACTGACTCTTGCAGAAGCGAGTCCCACAGTTTAACCATCAAGTGTGTGAAGAAGAATTCAAGAGAACGTTAAGCCCAGTGTGGAACTCCTGCCTCAATGAAACCCTCCCCTTTTACGCAGAGGCAGAAGTGGGGTTGAGTTAACGGGGGGGCAGCCTCATTAAATAAGCCCGACTTGAGCCACCAATGAATGAAATAGGAAAACTAATCTTTGCTGCAAAGGCAAAATTGCATCTCCCCATTTCATGTAACTTACAGGGAGCAATTCAGAACCTGTTCCAAAGGCTTCCTGGCCTCCAGCTGGGATGCTAGCAGGTAGAAAACAGGGACAAGCCAAGGATTCCACCCTGGAGAACAAGATGCTCTAAAACTGGCTTATGAATCACAGCCAGGAAAACTGGAATTTCTTTTTCCTCTTTTCTTTGCAAGGGGAAAAAAGGAACTCCCCAGGGGGATCTGTACTCAATAGCAGAGATCCTGCTGCAGGGCTGGCACAGCAAAGCCCTGCATGGGAGAACCATGCCAGGCTCTTTTTGTGGGAAGAAAATAGTAAAAACTACAGGGGGAGATTTGGACTAATGGTATCTGGGAGAAAGAAGTGGGGAGCCCTATGGCTCTCAAGTTAATTTCAGGCAGGTAGGTAGCAAATAGGAGGAGGAGATGAAAGAGAGGCTTTGGCCCCCTGCCAGGATTTATTATTTGTTGCGTTTATATTCCATTTTTCCTTCCTGGATATCAAGGTTGCATTTGAACCCTGGTCTCTTCAGTTACCGGTCCAGCACTCTGGCCACTACACCACCACCCCTCCAAGGGATTGAGGCCCTCAACAACAACAAACCAGACCCCACACGCATTTCCTGGGGAGGGAAGCAGAAGGTCAAATGCAGCTCCTCTCTGCTAGGTTTGGGAGGACCATTTTGCACAGCAGATGGCAGAATCGGCTGCTCCTGCCCTGGACTGGGAACGTAGCAGAAAGTAGCAGTCAACTGTACAGCATCCAGGGCTAATGGGGTGCCCTTTAAAAGTCATAGCAGAGGCCTAGTACTGGGGGTGTGTGGAGGTGCAAGCATGACCCCTCTCCATTCCTATCCTGGGCAACAATTGAGAGGGAAGAGCTGGTCCTGCCCACACAGTAACAGGTCTTTATACATTCCAGTGACACAGCAAAGTCACCCACCTCCATGCGATAATACATGGAGAACATAGGAGTCACAAAGTGCCTGGTCTTTGGCAAAGCCAGTCCGGCTTCCAAGGCAGGACATCTCCACAATATCTGGTTATCTGCTCCACATCCTGTCTTGGGGAAAGGACAGCACCCACAGATGTCTGGAGAGACCTGGTATTGGCAAGGTGCCCATTCTAAAGTGGTGCTCATGATCCTTGAGATGAAGATTAGCAGATAAACCAAGGTCCAGTAGCTGGACAGAGCGATGCTTTCAGTACCATGGACAAATCCCTTTGGGGGTGTCAGTGAAGTTTTCAGGACTATGGACAGAGCCTGCCAGGATTTCAGGACCTCGGACAGATCTCTTGGAGGGAGCCACTTGCCCAAAAGAATTCCCAGCTCCAAGGAAGACCTTTTCTCCCTGAGAAACAAATACTGTATCCTTAAAGGGGCAGCAGCCCTCATGCCCTGAGCCAGCTCTGGTCACTTGCTACCTGGCATCCGTAGGATATCCCAGGGGGCTGGAAGGGGACTGGTGTGGGAGGGGGCTCGGCCTCTTAAGGGCATCAGATGCAGGAAAGAGCTTCTCTGGAGTTTCTGGTTTGGGAATTCCAGGCTTTTGGGGTCCAGCCACCCTTTGCCCCTCCTCCTAGCCCTAGCTACTGCTGCTGCAGACCATCGCAGGAGATGGGCTTCGTAAAGCATCCATTGCTCCACAAGGGGACAAGGACTAATTGTCTGTCTTGCCTGCTGCAGAGAAGCCGAGAGCCATCAGGCAAGATGGTTGATGAAAAGACAAGTAAAGGGCAGCATGATAGAAGTTAAACTATTAAACTGTGGAACTTGCTCTAACAGGAGGCCATGAAGGGCACCTATTTGGGTTACTTTAAAAGAAGATCAGACACTCATGGGTGATAATAAGGCTATCAATGGCTTCTAGCCATGATGGCTATTGTTCTGCCTCCATGGCTAGAGGCAGTACTGTGTCTGAGTGCCAGATGCTGGAAACCACAGGAGAGGAGAGTGTTCTTCTGCTAGTTTCCCACAGGCATCTGTGTTGGCCACTGTGATAAAAGGATACCGGACTAGATAGGCTATTGGCCTGATCCAACAGGCTCTTATGTTCTTAAGGTTGTACAGGAACCCATTGCAGGTGTTATGGATTGAACAGCTACTGCACCTCTTCACAATATTCTAATTTTCTGAGATTGTTAATTTGGGGTTTTCATCAGCTGTACGCCATAATCATCACAATTATAACAAATAAAGGCTTGACATATCTCGCTTTGCATGTCATGAATCTCATGTATTAGTTTCACCTTTTAAGTTGAATTTCTGAAATAAATGAACTTTCCACCATATTCTAATTTTTTGAGTTTCACCTGTATTTGCCCATTTGTAAGAGACCTTCATGGCTGCAGGGGAGACAGAGCAGGCAGGCTGCCTTGGGGGGGGGGATAGCTTTGCAAGGAGTAGTTAAGCATTTGACCAGAGCAGCAGGCCTGGATCCAGCCCCTCAGTCAAAAGCATCTCCACCCACCTACCCACCCCTCCAGCCAGCCCTCTTAGGAGTCCCTCCAAACCATGCACCCTACCCAAAAATGCTCAGTCCTTGAAGGTTAAGATTCTTGCTGCTGCTTATGTATGGGTGTGTGGGAAGGGGGAAATAATCGCTCAGCGCCTCACAAAGTCCTTTTCAGCTCTTCTTATGTTTGTTTTTTAAAAGGAGAAGAATTGCCAACAATTGAGAATTAACAAGCCGATGCTAACGAACGGCGCCGGGGTGGAGGGGGCGGGGGGGGGAGAAAGCGTGTCATTCTCGCATTCCCCGATGAAATCAGACCCGTTTCCCTGCCATCTGTTGCACTGTTGCTGGCTGTTTATGACAACAAATCTGTCAAAGAGAAATAAACTTGCATGCGGCTGTGGGCATATGGTTCCTATTAGCAAGTGATAAAAAAAATATATTTAAAAAGAAAAACCTGATGGAAGATTGAAATGCTTATAGGTTACTGTGAGACAGACAGAGAGAAAGAGCAAAGTGGCGTGTGAGGGGGGTGGGAGCTGGGAAGCCCCCGGAATCAGTGCTGCCCAGCCTGCAATCTGCCCACTTTATAGAAGCGCATGCCTTTGGCACTGACTCTGCAGCCACAGAAAGCCCGTTTCGGAGCAGCTCCCTGTAGACCTTCATGTTAGAGAGATCAATAAAGCTTGGCTTTGGGATTGAGCGTAATGAATTTTGCTTTGTACAACAATAAGAGTGAAGGTGACATGGGATGTGAGTGAGAGTGGTATTTGATGATTCAAGGACTGCTTTAGCCACAAGAGCAAAGTGGTGCAAAAATGTTCTGACACGTGTAACCGCACACTGCGCTTGGTGAAGACAGGGACAGGGCCTTCTCGGTGGCTGCTTCCCGGGTTTGGAACCCCATCCCTAGAGAAGCTAAAGGGCTCCCTCCCTCCCTGTTATCCCTTTCTTAATTCTGGCAGGCTTGGGGAAATGGACTGCTTTTAAGGAAAAGACTCTGAACAGTGTTGCCCTGTTTCTATTATCTGTATTTTAATAAATTTGTTTTTTAGATTGCTTTCATAGAATCACAGAATTGTAGAGTTGGAAGGGACCCTGAGGATCATCTAGTTCACCCCCCCCCCCCGCAATGCAGGAATATGCAACTGTCCCATATGGGGAACGAACCTGCCACCTTGGTATTATCAGCACCACACTCTAACCAACTGAACTCTCCAGAGTTTAATTATTTTTTATTGATCGTCTTTTATGTGATTTCAGCTTTTGGCTTTTTATCTGTGTGGTTTTAATTTGCATAAGCCACCTTGAGTCCCTGTCTGGGGGAAAGCAAGATAGAAATAGAAATAGAAATAGAAATAGAAATAGAAATAGAAATAGAAATAGAAATAGAAATAGAAATAGAAATGGAAATGGAAATGGAAATGGAAATGGAAATGGAAATGGAAATGGAAATGGAAATGGAAATGGAAATGGAAATGGAAATGGAAATAACAACAACAACAACAACAACAACAACAACAACAACAACTGCCCTGTAAACAAATCACACTGAATGCTCACTAAAGGACAGGCAGAGTTTAACCTCTGCATAAGCAACTCAGGATAAATACCCAATAAACAGATTGTCTGGAGGAGCACTGAGTCTTGAAATCTGCAACTGCCCTGCCCCATGGCCTGCCCCACACCATACATCACAAACTCTAAGGACCACTTTTTCTATTTGAGAGGCTTGTTAACTGACGGTGCCGGGGGGCAGGGGCGGCGGCTTTGGAGCCTGTGCATGCTCAAGCCTGGGCTCCCCCCCCCACATACAAAAAGAGCATCTGGGGCTGTAAGTAAGTAAGTAAGTAAGTAAGTAAGTAAGTAAGTAAGTAAGTAAATATAATAATAATAATAATAATAATAATAATAATAATAATAATAATAATAATATATTTTTACCCTGCCCATCTGGGCAGCTTCCAACAAAAGATTACAAATACATTAAAACCTCAGTCATTAAAAACTTCCCTAAACCAAAGGAGAGGCAGAACCACCAAAACATGGCTTTCAAGTCATAAATAATCAACTTCATAATCCCGAGGAAGGGGCTCAACACAAATCTGATTTTGGCCTCCAGATGGCCTTAGAAAAGAGCATTACAATGGGTTTAATCCCAGTTACCATTTGAAATTCAAACACAAGAATGAACCCTCTGGAGGAAAAGAGGAGGAGGAGGAGGGTTTTAAAAAAAATAATTAAAAAGCACCAGGACTCACTTTGTTTTTCCTGCAGGACTCCAGATGAGCAGAAGGACGGATCTTCGCCTGCCAGAGGGGAGCAAGAGGGGCAAAGTTAGCATCTCTTGGCCAGAAGTACAAGGAAACAACCTCTGTGTTGCATCTGCTGAGCCACAAATTGCTCTCCCTCCCAGACACTTTCAAGCTCCAAATTCTTTTTTATTATTATTATTACAAATTTTATTGAAAGGTTTTTAAACAATTACCAAGCATTAAGTGTCATCTTCCAGGACAAATTCATGCACAGATGTTAAGCCATGAATGCAGTCATCCATATGACATCAAAACAGACCTGGAAAATCTTTCGGATGACAGTTTAAGCTCAAATCCACAGGGTATTCTTCAGTTTAGAGTATTAAGATAATTTCTCCAGAGTGGTTGTTATGACTGAGATGGAAGGGAGATTATTGCACTATTGTTAATAAATGATATAAATTGAGAGCACACAGAGCCAAACCCATGTTTGTTATTCCTCTTATCATCCTCTGATGGTGAGCTACCGTAAGTGCTCCATAAGGAGCTATATTCCACCCACATTGGGTCCAAGTTTCAAGCTCCAAATTTGACCTTCCAAGCCCATGACAAAAGCTTGGCTGCTCCAAGAAGGGACTTTCCTGCCTCCCCCACCACTAACCTCCATCTCCCACCCAAGCCAATGTGGCAGTTGCATCACTGGGACTCTTGAAAGGCCATACAATTATACTAATTATCATGAGGAATAAAGATAGGGTGATGCAAATGGGAAGCAGTGAGGGTGGGTGGATGGATGGGTAGAAACAGACAGCTCAGCCACAGAAGCTCAGGAGAGACAGAAGAAAGGACCCTGTTGCACAATGTGTAATTAGGTGGATACCCACCCATCCAAACTACAGTGATGGCTACTGGTTTGGGTGGTTTTAAAACTGGCCCAGGGCCCCTCCAAGTGTTGGTGGTCCACACGGGCCATCATCATAAGAACCTAAGAAGAGCCTGCTGGATCAGGCCAGCAGTCCAGCTAATGCAGCATCCTTTTTTCACAGTGGGCAACCCAATGTCTCAGTGGAAATCTTGCAAGCAGGATGCGAGCACAAGAGCCCTCTCCCCTTCTGCGGTTCCAGAAAATGGCATTCAGAAGCATCGCTGTCTCTGACCATGAGTGTTTCCCATATCATGCATTCGATTGAGCTAGTTGGGATACTGGCCTGATCCAGCAGGGCTCTTATTGTGGAGCACTACAAAAACGGCCCACTTAAACCAAACTGGAGCCACTAACGATTAGTATGGCTTCATAATTATTAGTAATAGCAAAAAGTAATTTTTGCATCAAAAATTACGCCACGCTTTTTCATGACGGCATCAATTACCTTTCCTTAGGTCTCTGCTCTATAAAAAAATAAAAATAAATAAATCCATGAGATATGTACATTCAGGGGATACATTGTTATGGATGCAAAGCCCAGGAAGTGAAAGAGAGATTCTATCATTTACTCACTCACTCACTCACTCACTCACTCAGTCACACACACACACACACACACACACACACACACTTTAGTCTCTCCCCTGCTGCTTTCCTCCAGGCTCTGTTAGCAGCAAGCAGAGAGTTCCCTGCTGCCACGCACAACGTCTCCAGCAGAAATGTCACAATATTATCTAGTCTGTGGTAGGCAATTCCGCCTTGTGGGTACCTAAGGATGGAAAGGGTGCTGCCCCAGATCCACAGCACTGGAGTGGGGAAGGCTGACGTTCTCAGAGAGTAAGACACCCTCACCCTATGGCAAGCTGGAAGATCAATTAGGCTGGGAGATGCTTGCTGGACCCCAGGCAGCCCTGTTCTGCTCTATGAGCAAGAAGGGCACCAAATTCCGGTCCTTAGAATCCAAAGCCAGTATGAACCTGCTTCACCTCGTAGCCAGGTTTAAGATCCAGATGTAAGACCCAGATTTAAGATTGAACAAAATCCTGCTCCACCTCACAGCCAGATTTAAGACTTGATGGGCTATTACACAACCTACACATGATGGGACACAAAAGAGAGATAAATGCACCATTTGCAGGCTTCATTCTCTAAGAGGCTTGCACTGCAATGACGACACAACTCCCAGAGGGAAGCCAGATCTGAGGTTCTCAGCCCTGTCATTCCCCGCTAAATGGCTCTGTTCCTTGTCAGATTAATCTGCTTCCCCCATGCCCCACCTTGCCTGCTGTCAAGAGGCGAGAAAAGCTTGGGATGCAGAGAAACCGTCTTTTCTCAGCAAAGTAAAAAAGGAAAGCCTATGAATCATCCAGTCTTGATTGAGATAAATTAGCGGGGAAGCACTTGATCCTGGCCATCATCAAGGGCAGCGTGAAACAGATCACACTCCCCCCCCCTCCCACAACACACACATACCCACTAATTATCTGTTTAGCAGCCTTGAAGATGCTGCCTGGCCTTGTGCGGAACCCATGACAGTCAGCTAACAAACATGCCAGCAAGGAGGAGGAAGAAGAACCCCAAGCAGTGACAAGAGAGCAGCAAATGCTACTCTCTCCAGCATATTGAAACAGAGCCCAATAACTGATCGGAGGTCTTTAGTGTGCACAGAATTTGTGTTAGGGTACTAATCTGTTGATTCACACAGACAGGAGCTTGTAGAGCAAGAAAACAGCAAAGCAGCTTATTATCAGAAGTGCATCACTTGGAAAAGGTATCTAATGCTAAGCTAATTGACAAAGATTGCCACGGGTCTGGAAACCAAACCTGATGAGGAACGGTGGAGGGAGATTAGGGATGTTTAACCTGAAGAAGAGAAGCCTGGGAGGTGACATAATAAAGCCATCTTCAAATATCTGAAGGGCTTCCACAAGGAAGATGGGGCAACCGTGTTTTCTGCTGCTCCAGAGGGGAGGACCCAAGCCAACGTATTCAAATGTCAAGGAAGGAGATTCTGACTAAACATTAGGAAGGGCTGGCAGGTGTGAAGCAGGTAAGGGGAAGACAAGGGGCAAGATTGTAGCTGGAAGCCTTTGAGAGTTGATTTGTTGAGTGGGGAGCTGTGATCCGCAATCATAGGCAGGTTGCAGTGGCTGGTCTTGAGCCTAAGCTATGAGGAGCAGGGAGCCGCTGCAGAAGAGCGTCACGCCACCTTGGTCGCCGGGCAACAGAGCAGCATCAGCATCAAACTGGGCTCCCAATTGCTATAGAGAATGAGAGCAGCATTTGCCAACTGGGGACCCTCCAGGTGTTAAGAGCATGAGAATAGCCTTCCTGGGCTCTGCTGGATCAGGCCCACCTAGTCCAGCATCCTGCCCTCACAGCAGCCACCCAGAAGCCTGTGTGAAACCCACAAGCAGCAACTGGTACCCAACTGGTACCTAGAAGCATTACTGCCTTCTGCTCTGTAGGCAGAGCATAGCCACCATGGCTGGTAGCCATCAATAGTCCCCACCTCCATAATCTCCATGACCAGATCATCTCTAGTAGCCACTGATGGCCTTATTGTCCTCAATGAACTTGTCCAACCCTCTTTTAAAGCCATCCAATTTGGTGGCCATCACTGCCTCCTGTGGCAGGGAGTTCCATAGTTTAACTCTGCGCTGCAGGAAGAACTCCTTCCCTTTTATCTGCCCTGAAACTCACAACTTTCTGCTTCATTGAACGGCCACGAGTTCTAGTGTTAAAAGAGATGGAGGAAAACCTTTCTCTACTTCTTCCACACTATGTAGAATTTTATAAACTTCTATCACGTCGCCACTTACTTGCCCTTTCTCCAAACTGAAAAGACGCTGCAACCTTTCCTCTTAGGGGAGTCGCTCCATCCCCTTGATCACCCCCTTTTCTGAAACGTTTCCAACCCTGAAGGTGGGGGCAGAGAGGGGGTGTTGCACGTGACTCAATGTTACCTTGGTTCTCCTCCAGCTTCCCAATGGTCTCAATCTGTTCCACCAGGTCATTGGAGTTCCACTGGCTCATCCCCAGGAGGATCGCACTCTTCCCTTCCGCCACCTCCTCTGCAGTGAAAGAAAATGGCATCACGTTTCAGCACAATGGCACGGGTACCAGAGCCAGGACGGCTTCACTGAGACTAAAGCAGGTCGTGGTGGGAATGCATGGCCTGGCCACAGGGTCAGAAAGTGGAGGGTCTCCTCCGGGATCCTTTCCCCCCCCCCCAATTTTTTTATTAGTTTTCCATTTTTAACACAACACAAAAGAACAAACAAATAACAAATATATATATATATGTATGTATATACACACACAAAACATACATTCAAAATTTCCTACCTTTAAAAATCCAAATTCAATCCATTTTAGGTGACTTCCTCAAATCCTTCCTGACTGATTTCCATTAAATTTCATTTTAGCAATTTTCCAATATCCACTTCTAATAATGTTAACTTGTTCAGATTACTAACTTACTTTCTTTTCATAATATTCTCAATCCATCATCTTATACTTTCAACATAATTTAATCCTAAATCAAATTTAGTACTTGCAGGTATTTCCTCTTATATTATATATTATATAATGATATATTATTGTATTTTACTAAATATTCCTTAAATTTCTTCCTCCAGGATCCTTTGCAAGAGTACAGCAAAGAGCATCACTGCATCCCCTGCATGTGTAAAACACTATTATTATATAAAGCCCTTAACAATATGGGACCACTTTACCTTATCCCTTATATATGCTGACTCAACCACTTCAGTTGGTGGAAATGGCACTGCTGTGGGTACCACATAATACCCGTTCAGCGTTTGTAAGAAATCCATCCATCTTTCAGCGTGGCAGCACCTACACTTTGGAACTCCCTGCCTATTGACGTCAAGAAGGTGCCTTCATTGTTTTTGGGGTGGTTTTTTTGGTGCCTGCTAAAAACATTCTTTTTAAGACACACACATACCCAGATATTTAGAAAGCCAGTGTGAGTCTCTTATCTCTTTTCAGTCTATTGTTATTTTAACTTTTTGAATGTTCTGAATTATTGCTGTTTATTTTTCTCACTGATAATTTTATGGTTTTACCTGTTTTTCGTAAACGAATCTGAAGTTCTTCTTGCAAGCTAGTGGTGTGTAAATTTTATGAAATAAATCAATAAACAGGAGGCCCAGACACCCACTGTGTCTCCTTCATAACACCCCTTAGGACAAGGGTAGGCAAACTAAGGCCCAGGGGCCGGATCCGGTCCAATCGCCTTCTAAATCCGGCCCACGGATGGCCCAGGAATCAGTGTGTTTTTACATGAGTAGAGTGTGTCATTTTATTTAAAATGCATCTCTGGGTTATTTGTGGGGCATATGAATTTGTTCATTTCCCCCCTCAAAATAGAGTCCGGCCCCCCCACAAGGTCTGAGGGACAGTGGACCAGCCCCCTCCTGAAAAAGTTTGCTGACCCTTGCCTTAGGATGTTAGCTGTGCAGCACTAGAGAGAGGATGCCACATGGCAAGGCTGGCACAGAGCTGGGTGCCACTCACAAGACGTTCACACGGGCAGCCATGCTTTGGGGGGAGGGAAGAAGCATTATTATTATTATTATTATTATTATTATTATTATTATTATTGTTATTATTATTACCCCACTGTTTTCCCAGAACAGGACTGAATGCACCTTACCCTTAATTAAAACAACACAGGTAATAAAATACAAAATCTTTCTCTGAGGATATTTGTTACAGGTCATGTTATCATTTGTACGTTTCACTGTTCTGGGTTAATTGTAGTGGGGATTCTTGGCTGAACTTCAGTGCAATTTGTAAGAGACGGCGATGTTAATGGAGGATTAAATGAGATATACGCATTCCCCTGAATTAAAAATAAATAGATCTCTATCCCCCTTTATTGAAGTTCAAGGCTGCTACCACCAGCTGTGTGCAAACTGCAATTTAGACTGATACACTGAGGAGGCAAGTTTACAACACACTGATGGTTGAGGGAGTTGCGTAAGTTTAGCCTGGAGAAGAGAAACTGAGAGGTGATGTCAGAGCCATCTTCAAATACCGCAAGGCTGCTACATGGAAGATGGAGATAGCTTGTTTTGTGCTGCTCCAGGGGACAGGACCCTAATTGCTGGATTCAAAGGACAAGAAGGCTATTCTGACTAAATATTAGAAATAACTTTCTGGGGGTATAAGCCATTCGACAGCAGACTCCCAATGAATGTGTGGACTCTCCTTCATTGGAGGTTTCTAAGGTGAGGTTTGATGGCATCTGTCAGGGATTCTTTAGCTGCAATTCCTGCAATGCAGGGGGCCGAAGTAGATGACCCCTGTGGCAGACCCTCCAATTGTCCCTATTTTCCAGGGACATCCTGAATTTACAGAAGCCATCTCAGTTTTTGATTTGATCCTAGAAGGTCCCGCTTTTCCTTAGGATATCCCTAAGGAGAAATATTGGAGGGTATGGTAGGATGTCCCTATTTTCATGGGAGATAAGTTGGAGGGTATGGAGTTATGTGACCCCAGACCCAAGGAGATAACTATACAACCTTTAAGGTAAAGGTAAAGGGACCCCTGACCATTAGGTCCAGTCCCGGACGACTCTGGGGTTGCGGCGCTCATCTCGCTTTATTGGCCGAGGGAGCCGGCGTACAGCTTCCGGGTCATGTGGCCAGCATGACTAAGTTGCTTCTGGCGAACCAGAGCAGCGCACAGAAACGCCGTTTACCTTCCCGCTAGAGCAGTACCTATTTATCTACTTGCACTTTGACATGCTTTCGAACTGCTAGGTTGGCAGGAGCTGGGAATGAGCAATGGGAGCTCACCCCTCGCGGGGATTCGAATCGCCGACATTCTGATCGACAAGCCCTAGGCTCTGTGGTTTATCCTTTAGAAGCCCTGTATAGTTTTATTATGTTTTTGTGTGTTGGAAGCTACCCAGAGAATTATTATTATTATTATTATTATTATTATTATTATTATTATATCATCACCATCATTATGGATTAGGATGTCCCTATTTTCATCAGAGAAATGTTGGAGGGTATGCGGTCCCTTTGAACTTGACAATTCACTGGTTCTATTATTCCTCCTCCATTGGTGCCAATGAAAGGTTTCATTGACAGGTAAATAACAGCTTCTGAGAGGGTATTTGTCAGACCCATGGCTGGGGGAAGGAGAGTTTAACTTCTCCCCACCTCCATGCTGCCCCCCCCCCAGCGGTTCGGGCTTCTCCACAGATGCTATTTACATAACGAAACACAACAAGAAAAATCCCCAGTTAATTGTCTTCGTCATCCTGGGCCTGGCTTGGCTCCAAGAGGTAACAATGCGGAAAGGCAGCCTCATCCCAAGCAAATCTCTGACTCCTCTGTTGGGTGGTTTTTCTACCAAGCCCGAAGCATTTCCTTCCTGCTGCAATTATCACCATCTCAGCCATTGCATTCATGAATATGGATGACGGGTCCCCCTCCCTTCCCAACACTTGGGGAAGATTTTAAAAGGAGGCAAATGTCTGCACATCCGATCAGGTGTTCTGAAGCCAGAAAATGCCACTTTGGAAGCGGAACCCCTCTAGGCCCTTTGTGTTCGCCACTCAAGAGTCAGCAGCAAGGAAGGCAGAAAGCGGATGAGGACTCGGGAACCCCTTTTCCTTCCACTCTCATGCAGCTGCAAATTCAGAAGAAGAAGAAGAAGAAAAACAGAAGGCAGGTGGGCTCCAGCACCCAAGGACAACAGCTAGACCTGTTGCAAGGAGCACGAGGCCTCCTTGAGAAAAGAAATGCAATGATTGTTTCATTTGCTCAAATATCAGTCTGCTTGCAGGTTCCCTTGGGGGCATCTGGTTGTCTGCTATTGAGGACAGGAGGCTGGGTGAGTTGGGACCCCCTGCTATAAGGCTCTTGTGATAGGAATTTTGAGGTCTTCTAGGGAACCTATGTAAGGACTCTGTATGGGCTCTTGGGTACCCCATAAGGGGAAAAGGGCAGATTTTTGTTTACAACACTCTTCAAAGAGTCCCTTCATTCAACGGAGGCACCACTGGAGAACCATACAACCAAGAGCAATCCTGCCTCCGACCGCGGAGACAGAGCACGACCATCATGGCTAGTGGCTGTTGACAGTCTTATCCTCTGAACTCTGGGGTGGGGGAAGAACAGGAAGAACCTGAAAGAATGGCATTTTCTTCAAAGTGTCACCAGCTTCTCCAGAGGATCGGGGGGGGGGGAGGGACCGGCACATCGCACGTCCTGACATCACACATGCAACATTGCACAATGTCCTGACAATGTGCGTCATCCTCTGAATATTGAGGCAGCCCAGTCCCCTCAAAAAATGTATTCAGGGGGCCAAAACTGCCTCAGCTCCTAGGAGTCGGCACCTTTGCATCATGTGGATGCCCCACAAAAACTGAGTAGACACAGCATGGGTGTTTCACAGCCAAGACCCAGCTTGGAAACAGCCTGTAATCATAAGAAAGAACTGGCTGGAACAGGCCAATGGCCCGTTTCCATCAGCTTCCTGTACTCACAGCAGCCAGCCAGGTGCCTCTTCTGGAAACCCAACCAACAGGACCTGAGCACCAGAGCCCTCTCCCCTCCTGTGGTTTCCAGTGTTGTAAACAAAATCTGCCCTAAGACCTTAAAACTCTTATCACACCAGCAACGGGCATTCAGAAGCATGTGGCTGTAGAGCATAGCCATCAATAGGACCAGAAATTCTTTCAGTTTGGTATTGGGGCTGATTACACCAGAGATGTAATCTGTGTGTGTGTGTGTGTGTGTGTGTGTGTGTGTCAGGGGGCTGCACACACAACTGTCTCCCCCACTGGCATTTATTCCAGATTAGGACATTTGTCCTCCCTTATCAAATAATAAAATTTGACTGGAAACCTGCATCACACCCAGTCCTTATTAATGCAACTATTACTGTCTTCCGCTGATGAACTGTAATAATAATATTTGACGGAAAAGAGTCTTTTGAAACATCAAAATATTGACAGCATTCCTGTCACTGTGTACTTCTAGTTTCCATGGAAAGCCCGGGTGGGCCTCTGTTCAGGCATCTGCCTAGGGAAAGATGCCATCGGTGCTTTTAAATTATAGATGTTGTTGAGCAATTCCAGAAATAGCAGTGGGACGTTTGGCAAGGGCAGCCTCAAAAGAGCTGCCGTGAGAAGGACGGACTTTAAGTTTGCAGAAGGGCTTTTTGGAGGGGGGGGCATTTTTCCTTCCCAAGAGGTGGGGAGAGAGAAGGGAAAAAGTACCGGAGAGGCTCCTTATTCTGGAGTCTTCCTTGCACAATGGATATGTCAGATAGCCGAGAAAGGAGAGCTCCCCCCCCCCAACACAGACACTCACAAGGCCTCAAGGCTTCTCACATCAGTACATGCAAAAAACATCTAGGGGTCTTTATCTACCACAAGCTTAACATGAGTCAACAGTGTGATGGAGCACTAAAAAAGAGAGAGAGAAAAAGAGCTACTGCTATTCTAGGCTACAGCAACAGAAATCTAGTGTCTAGATCAAGGGAAATCATAGTACCACTGCATTCTGCCTTGGTCAGACCACATCTGGAGTCCTGTGGCCAGTTCTGGGCACCACAGTTTTAAAAGGACATTGACAAGCTGGAAGATGTGCAGAGGAGGGAGACCAGCAGGATCAAGGACCTGGAAACCAAGCCTTATGAGGAACAGTTGAGGGAGCTGGGGATGTTTAGCCTGGAGAAGACGCAGAGGTGACATGATAACCATCTTCAAATACCTGAAGGGCTGTCACATGGGAAGAAGGAGCCAGCTTGTTTTCTCCAAAGGGGAGGGCCTGAACTGATGGAATCAAATGATAAGAAAGGAGATTCTGACTACACATTAGGAAGAACTCTTCAACAGTGAAATGAACTCCCTTGGAGGATAGTAGACTCTAATTCACTGGAAGTTTGTCAACAAAGTTTGGGTGACCACCTCTCAAGGATTCTAGCTGCAATTTCTGCATTGCAGGGGGTTAGACCCTCATGGTCCCTTCCAGTTCCACAATTCCATGATTCTATGAAATACAGTCACACAGGACTCCCTTTCCACAGCACAATTGACTTTCCTAATGGTCTTAAGTACTGCACTGGCCAGATATACCACACTGTTTTGCTTTGGGTTGGGTTTTTTTTAGTATTTCTACTTTTATTATTTTCATTGATAATATTGTTGACCTGGATGGACCAGTGGTCTGACTCAGCCTAAGGCAGCAGAGGATGTCCAAGAGGAACCCGACAGTGGAAACACCAAAGGCCTCTAGGAAATGGAGCAAGGGGACGGTGCCCTGAGAGACACTTTGGATGCCTGGCAGTAAGCATAATGAACACCAACCTCGTGCATCAAAGAACTCATCATCGGAGCTCTCCACAGAGTCAGTCAGGATCCCGTGCATGGGCCACTGGGCGCTGAACCGGCGTAAATCAGCTGCAGAAGGAGACAAACAAACAGAGAAAAGTCAGAGGAGTGAACAGATTTTTGGCTGCAATGCTGGAGTCAAAACAAAACATTTTGATCTGCTATTAAAAGTGCTCCCAATTAATCAGCCTGGTGGAATTAAACTTATTTTCATACATGAACTTACAGAAACAGCAAACATCAAGCACCATATGAAAGGCAGGATCCTGCTCACCCACCCACATGAGAGCAGCTGTTTAAGAATTGATACCCAAGTTGTGTTTTTTTTCCTCTGCCCTTCCTGTGCCTTTTCCCTTGCAAGTTGTATTTTCTTATATAGCAAACCTGTGGAGAACGGGATTGCTTTGTTTTAAGTGACTGTATGTAAGCCACTCTGGGAGTCTTGTTGGCTGAACACAGGGGTGTAAATGCTCACATAATAATCATGAACATGTGAGAACAATAAGGTGCCCCTTATCCAAAACAAGCCTTCATCCCCAAGGACACTTTTTTCACTTCTGGACTAGGTGGATTCCCCTCCCCCCATTTTTCATATACACAGATTTACCTATCAATCAACTGAGTAAAACTGCTACCATTTCATCACTTATTGACACCTGAGAGTGCCCACCATGTCCAGAGAATATCACTGGAAGATTTAGGACAGATATAAGAAAGCTCTTCCTCATGCAGCACAGAGTTAAAATGTGGAACTCACAATCATAGGAGGGCATAATGGCTCCCAATTTGGATTGCTTTTAGAAAGGATTAGACAGGTTCATGAAGGAAGAAGAAGAGAAGAGAAGAAGAGTTTGGACTTGATATCCCGCCTTTCACTCCCCTTATGGAGTCTCAAAGCGGCTAACATTCTCCTTTCCCTTCCTCCCCCACAACAAACACTCTGTGAGGTGAGTGAGGCTGAGAGACTTCAGAGAAGTGTGACTGGCCCAAGGTCCCCCAGCAGCTGCATGTGGAGGAGCGGGGAATCGAACCTGGTTCACCAGATTACAAGTCCACTGCTCTTAACCACTACACCACACTGGCTCCCAGCAGAGGGAGCAGAAGGCTATTGATGGATAATGATGGCTTTGCTCTGCAGCCATGCATCTGAATACCAGTAGCTGGAAAGGGCTTTTGTGTTCGGATCCTACTTGCCGGTTTCCCACAATAGGCCACTGTGAGGACAGGATGCTGGGCTAAGGTGGGCCATAGGCCTGATCCAGCAGGCTCTGCATCTGTTCTACACATTCATCCCAGAAAAGGAAGGCAGCCCAGGGGAGGGGCAGAGTTTGGAAGCAAGTCTGAAGCTCATTGCGTGACCATGGGCCAGTCACCACCTCTCAGACTAGCCTACCTCACAGGGTTGTTGTGAAGATTAAATGAGGAGGGAGGACAAACTATGTATGCCACCTTGAGCTCCTTGGAGAAAAAGTTGGGAGATAAATGCAACAAACAATACAGGCAGCTAGAAACTCGAACCCCAAGCTGGCTTCTCCTCTATTAATGTATATGATTTGGAAGTTTGGTTTCCAGCCCAAACGTCAGGCACCCAAAGAAATAAACAAGGGGCAAATCATTACTCATACAATAAGCACAATCATCAGTGTAGGAAAGCAGCAAGAAGATGAATCTTTTATCATCTCCACAGCCAACAACTCACCCCTTGTGTGCAAACACTGTGGCAAGTCAGAATTCTCTGGAAACGGGCAACAGTGCTCATTCCTGCTTAGAATTTATTAGGTGTGTATCTGTGCAAGACTTTAAAAAGCCCTCTGGTGGCTTGCAATGCATGATTCTTGCAAATCACTGGAGGAGTCTCTTTAGCTAAGAGGTAAAAATGCTTGTAGATTAAGTAGGATGACTAACAAGGCAGATATATGACACTCTGGGAGAAAAACATTTCAGTTACCACCTCCTTCAGTGGATCAGACATGACTCAGAGCTTGTCCTAAGACCATAGGAAGAGCCTGTTGGATCCTGCCCTCACAGCGGCCAAATGGGAAACCCAGTCTTGTTCTCCACCATTCTAAGGTAGACCAGCTCTGTCCATGGAGGCTCCATTTAGCAATCCTAAGAAACTAAGAAGAGCCCTGCAACCGGAACAGGCCAAACAAACATCGTGTTTGGGCTCAGAGACTCAGCAGATGCAAGGGGAAATCTGAAAACTCCCCCAAGAAGCCCCCATGCCATTATTGGCAGAGCCAGGCCAGCCATTAGGTAGCCTTCCTCCTTCGACAGCCTCACTGTTCCCATTCCTCCTGATAAGCCCACTTAATGCCTATAGGATTTTATAAATGCAAGTTGTCTAATTATGGCTAATGAATGCGGCAGTCATGGATCCAATATCTCGACCGTTTTGCCTGGCAGGCACAGAACTCAGCTTAATCGCTTGGCTCCATTGAATAAAGTCCACTTAGCCTTAAGTGTTCCCAGACACACACGGAGCCCCTTCAAATTAAGCTGACGAAGCCTCGACTAATTGAGTGCTGCGCCTGATGAGGATAAATGTTTAGGCCTCCCTCCCAGTAGTGCTCCTTTGAATCGCCCGCTTGCCCTCTGCATTCACCAGCCTCGAAAGCCAATGCCACCTTCAGCCCCCCATCTGTAGGGGGTAAGGGAACCCTTGCAGTGTGGAAGCAGAATGTCTGGGTCTCTGTTCACCAAGGAACTTGGACTCTATTATGTCCTCAGCCTATTTCTATCCTAAGACCATGTCTCCCTTGGAGTGTGCAAAAAAGAGAGAGAAGAAACTCAACGAAAGAAAGAGGATGAATATTTGAATGGGAGTCCGGAATGTTTGACTGGCAATGCTATTATCCTGTGTTTTTCTTGCAAAGCTAACTTCTTGCAGTGTCTTATATACGTAATAACTTTGTCATAAAAGCTGTTATGTACGATGACAAAAATCCACCAACAGCATACAAATCAATATGGCTAACCTGATCCAAAACACACACCCCTCACACACGAAAACAAAGACCACCACACCCAACCACAAATGAATAACCACACCCTAGGCCAACCCCAACCTCTCTCACCACCAAAGGAACGCAAGTGAACAGCAGAGAACCTGCACAAGCAACGCTGACACCAAACCCTACATATAGAAAGTAAAATAGAAACATTGCCACCCACCCCCACCCCCACCCATCTTTCCCCCATTCCACCTCTTTCCCCCTTTTCTTCCTAACGTCTCAACAAATGAAACTGATTTCTGGCGGGCTAGGGACAAAGGTGAAAGCTGTTTCCTAGTTTTGCTGAATCTCTCAGCGGCTTTTGACATCAGCGACCATAACATCCTTCTGGACCGTCTAGAGGGGCTGGGAGCTGGGGGCACTGTTATACAGTGGTTCTGCTCCTTCCTCCTGGGTCGTGTTCAGAAAGTTGTGGGGGGGGATGAGTGTTCAGACCCCTGGGCTCTTACTTGTGGGGTGCCTCAGCGTTCTGTCCTCTCCCCCATGCTTTTCAACATCTACATGCAGCCGCTGGGGGAGATCATCAGGGGGTTTGGGCTGGGTGTTCATCGGTATGCGGAAACCCAGCTAGATGGGCGGAGTATAAATAATATATTATTATTATTTGTAAAAATGTTACATGGAGGGGGGGAAATGAGACATTGCACACACTTTTGTAAATCAACAAAATCTTAATAATAATAATAATAATAATAATAATAATAATAATAATAATAGCTGTTATGTATGCAAAACACCCTATCAGCTCAGAAGAGAGTCTGGCGAGTGGGGTCTCCTCTGACAGAACAGCCGACCTGAGCAGACTTTTATGCTAACCACAAGGTGAAGGCTTGATTGTTCTTCTGCTAGAGCAATTAGAGAAACAGTTGCCCTGTTTGGGTGGCCTTTAAAAACCTAAGAAAAGCCTGCTAGATCAGTCCAGGAGCCCATCTAGTCCAGCATCCTGCTCTCACAGTGGCCGCCCAGAATGTCTGTGGGAAACCCACAAGCAGGACTTGAGCCCAAGGGCAGCACTCTCCCTTCTTGTGATTCCCAACTGCTGCCTCGGACTGTGGAGGCAGAGCCTAGCCATCGTAGCTAGTAGCCATCAATAGCCCTCTCCTCCTCTGTGAATTTGTTCAATTCTCTTTTCAATCCATCCAAGTTGGTGGCCAACTCCTGTGGGAGGGAGTTCCATAGTTTAACTATGTGCTGCATAAATAACTTTCTTTTACCTGTCCTGAAACTTCAAGCGTTCAGCCTCAGCTTTGGCCTCACCTCTATCCTTTGACCACAGCAGGATGGTCAGGATGGTGGTAGCTTTGTGTGAGGAGAGAGGCGAAAGAGGCTGGGATGGAGGAGCGTTTGCTTACCTGCAAACCAAATGGGCACAGGAGATGCCAGGAAAGCAAAGGAAGACCACCACCATCCCTCTGGTTGCTAGGCAACCATAACACTCTCTTCTCCCTGCATCCAACTGTCAGACAGAGTTGAAGGAAGGGGGCGGGAACAGAGGGGGATTATAAAGGTAAAGGGACCCCTGACCGTTAGGTCCAGTCACGGACAACTCTGGGGTTGCGGTGCTCATCGCGTTTTTTTGGCTGAAGGAGCCAGCATACAGCTTCTGGGTCATGTGGCCAGCATGACTAAGCCGCTTCTGGCGAACCAGAGCAGCACATGGAAACACCGTTTACCTTCCCGCCAGAGTGGTACCTATTTATCTACTTGCACTTTGATGTGCTTTCTATTCTGCCTTGGACAGACCACAGCTGGAGTCCTGTGTCTAGTTCTGAGCATCATAATTTAAGGGGGATATTGACAAGCTAGAAAGTGTGTCGAGGAGGGCAACCAAGATAGCCAAGGGTCTGGAAACCATGCCTGATGAGGAACAGTTGAGGGAGTTGGGGATGTTTAGCCTGGAGAAGAGGAGACCGAGAGGTGATATGATAGCCACCTTCAAATATCTGAAGGGCTGTGCTTGGGAAGATGGAGAAAGCTTGCTTTCCTCTGCTCCTGAGGAGGGGAACCTGAACCAATGAATTCATATTGCTAGAAAGGAGATTCTGATTAAAGCTT